TAATTCCGCATATTACACTTATTCATCTCCCTCTAGGTGTTGTTAGGGTCGAACTTGCGTTTTTCAAATATAATATTACATTTAGATAGAATAACATATAAATTTTCACGTCTCCCTCGTTTTTTAATTACATCGATCCTGCTGATGTTGAATCAAAAAAGTGAAAACTCAAGTTGGGTGTTCAACACAACACTTCATGTCTTAGATTGTTAGATCAAATGCTTGATACACGCAAAATATTTCATATATGGATGACGGAAAACTTGAACATTATCTTTTTGTGTGGCTCCTATACCACGTCAAACAAGTTCATCTGAAAGTTTAAAATACTAAAAAGAAATCACGAGTAATTATTTAAATTTTATCGCCAATGATTACTCTAGCTAAATTTGATTACTCGTATTTTTTTATTTTTTTTTTGACGTTTGCTCTATTTCTCCCCTCTCATGTCGACTTCTCAATCTTTTTCTTTTTTGACTATTCTAAATATACACTTCATCTCTAATTCAATCATTTAGTAGACAACATCATCAAATAGTCACGTTTTTCCACAAAAGACTTTTTGCCCCTCCTTTCTTCCATTAAGTTGGGGATCCCAAAACTAAAGTAACATTGATTTAAAATATAATTAATAAATTGACACATGAACTATGAGATTATAAATATTTTTTGAATCCAAACCTAACTTGCTAATCTTGAAAAGCAAAAGGGTTATCATTTTTTCTTCAATCCAAATAAACGAGTACCTATTACTATCATTACAATCGAGGCACCATCTTTCTTTTTCTGTTGATCTCTCGATACATGTAATTGTGACAATGAAATGTTCAACTTCCCAAAGGACAATGGGATATATAACATTGTTCTGACTCATAAGATATATTTAGAGGGTGTTTGGTGGGGATTAAAATTAGATTTTTAGTAGATTGTGATACAAGTTTTTGAATTATGTGGTTGAAAAGTTGTGGGACCCATGAAAGATGTGATTAATATTGATTGTTTGACTTTGACTTGGATTAAAATAAGATTTTAATCCAGATCAAACATGGACTTAAAATGAAAATGCACGAAAAATCTTATCTATATTGTACGCCACACATGTCCATGATGTATAAGATTTGAAATGATGACCCCTTATAATTGAGTGAATTGATGTTCCAACCATTGGACAAAAAAACCCTTGTAAATCTCATACCTTGCATCATATGAATTTTAAAACTTGGTACAGTTTAACCGTCTATCTCATTCTGCACCAATGTCGTGTGTTTATTTATTTAATTTTTCCATCTTGCAGGCTCAGTGATTTGATTGAAACAAAAGTATAAGCGATTTCTTTAGAACAACAAAGCTCACTAAATCCAGTCGAATAAGAACATAAATTATGTGACTTTTAAGCGTCTGCTACCTAGTTGAATTAGCTGCTGATTATCGAGTGGAAGTATAGAGATTTGACAACAATATGACACAAATTTAGAGTGACATTCAATAGAAGAAATGTGCTTAAATGCTCAAGTGTACATTGATAATATACATCGTGTCAATTATTTTAACTACATAACAAATCCACTGGCAATTGCCTTGAGACTTGTGGTTCCATACACTGGCAATTCTTCTTCATGTGCTCCAATTCCAAACCTGACAGTGTGATCAAGCTCAAAAAGATCAGAACTAGTACAACTCTTATTATCCAAATCACTCTCATTCTCATAAAATTGATCTCCGAATCCATGTTTACTCAAAATTTT